ACCATTTGCTGTGAGAAGGCTGACTGGTCTAGAGGATTGGGAAACCTCGCAATCATGTAGCATGTTTCTTGAAACAAGATCATGAGCACTACCAGTGTCTGCTATCCACGCGATCTCCGGCGTTGCCATGGATGGACTGTTGACAGGCTTAAAGCATTTCACGCAACCCATGACGGAATCGCACAGGTAACCACATGTTGCTGGCCTGTTGTGAAGCTCATTATCAACAGCATTCTGAAGGTGTTGAGCTGCAATCGATGCGTCCTCCTGAGCAACTCGAAGTACGCTAGGGTCGCCACGGTAGTCGACTGGAAGGAGGCGCTTCTTCTTCTTGTGCCTGACTCCAACCGGCTTGAACCTCATATTTTGATCAACGGTATGCTCGAAAACAGTTGGGTTGTCATCAAAGTGAATTCTCGTCCTAATGACGTTTGCATTTTCATGTGTATTCAAATTATTGCTCAAAACAGGCATGGCAGGGTATGCTGGCATGACCACGCTTCCCAGCGGGCTATTAATAAATGCTGTTGATCCGTTCGAGATCGTTGCAGCAAAGACCAATGTCCGCAGGAGGCAAACGGCTGCCGGCGCATTGGAAGAAGAAGATTTTCCACCTTTCTTCCTCTGGCTTTCTGACCCAGTGGAACTGTCGGAGCCTGACCTTGAGCCACTTTTACTTCTTTTGCGTGGCTTCTCTTTCTTCTTCTTCTTCTTCTTCTTCTTTCGTTTGTCTTCTTTTGCAGGCACTGTCTTCTCAGGATGCTGAAAGGCACAATCCTTTCCACGATGACAATTGCCTGCCTTCCAGAATTTGCAAGTCTCTTTTCTGGAACCTGGAGTAAGGGATCTTGATTGTGATCTACTCCTTGACTTTCCTTTCCCCTTGCCTTTCGAATCTTCGCGGGGTTTTTCGTGCTTGAATGGGCATGAACTACCTCTCTTGCACTTTCCTGTCTTTTGAAATTCAAAGCATACACCTTTCTTGTCCAATTTGGCAGGTGCAACAGGATCTTTGCCACCAAGCGACCGCTTGGTGGCATCCCGCATCTTGTCGAGTCGCTTCCGTTCCAGGTAGGCACGGGAGGCAGCGATCAGGAAATCGTATGTCTTTTCCTTCGATCCCTCGGCGGCACGATCGTACAATGCCAGGTCATGAGTAAGAGGCCTGAAACTCTTGATAGCCATGTGGAAATATGCTTCCAACACGCTCTTTTCAGGTTCTCGTTTCATGCCGGCGAGGATCGAATCCCATTTGCTAATGAATGACTTTAAATCGTCGTTTACTAGCTTCACTGACATAAGATCTTCCAAATCGTAAATAGCACCGTGCTTGATGCTCGTGGCAAAGTACTCATGAAATTTGAGCAACACCTGTCGACCCTTAACTGGTTTGTTCTCACGCGCTTGAAGCTCCTTAAAGGTAGCTATCTGCCGACCAAGGTCCCCCTCGGCGCAGTTTGTCAGACTTGACAAAAGCTTTGCATCGAGTGTCGGAAACCCTTCTGAATCGGCAAGTGCATCGATGTTCTGATCTTCTTGGAAGACTTTCCCGATCCACTTTCGCGCATCGTCAGGCTTTGCAGAGGCCGCGGAAACATTATCTCTGACTTTGATCTTCCAATCCCGGTACCTTTCGGGAGTCGGAAACTTCGGAATGAGCACTTTGTCCGCTTCCTTTGCACGTTGCTCTTTCTCAGGAGGACCATCCTTCTTAAGCATTTTCTTCAACTCCTTTTTGACAAGTTTGGAAATCTTGTCACGAACGGAACTCGACGATGTAGAGTCGGCGTCGCTGCTCGAGCAACCTGAAGGAGAAGGCGAAGGGGACTTCTTCTTTGTCCTCTTCTTCGTAGGAGAGCGACCTCGCTTCTGTGTTTCATCATTCTTGCGTCGATCACTCTTCTTCTTTTTCTTCTTCTTCTCTGATCTCTCGCTGTCAGCGTCGCTTTGATGAGCATTATCTGGAGGGGATGGCGGTTTCGGCATGCTCGACGTGGCTTTGCACGACCGTGCCTCCGGAGAACTGGATTTGTGCTTGGGTGCCATTTCTGACATCCGGTTCCCCGGTGCGGCGTACATCCCTTCTCTTAGCTCTTTGATGATGCGAGCTTGTTCGGCCAGCTCAGCGCGCAAACTGTTCTCTCGCTCTTGAGCTACGGCCCTTTCCTTTAAGGCAAACTCATGTTTCTCAAGAGCCGTTTGTGTCAAGAACCTTTTACGCTCATCTTCTTGTTGCTGCTGTAGCTGTTGTTGTGCAATTCGAAGTTGTTCAAGTGTTTGTTGTTCATTTGCTCTGGATGACTCCGCGACGAAGTCTCTGGCTTGTCTCTCCACATCCTCTCTCATGCGTGTGGCTTCCTCGTTGAACCTATTCTGAGCTTCGGACATGATTGCCTGGTGCCTTAGCTCAGCGACCTGTGCCACTGCTGCCGATTGGTCCTGATTTACAATGACAGCTTGCTGGAGAGTCCTTGCATCTATCTGGTTAATCACTGATGTTGTTGGTGCGAACGGAGAAGGAGCTTCCATGGGCCCCAGGTCCCCCTGGACAGGACTAAGTAGAGGAACACTCAACAAGTCAGGAGGTAAAGGCACTAGGATATCACTACCCTCATGCTCGGACATCAACGGGGTGGTAGGAGCATAGCCCGAACGAGATCGTTCGTCCTCCAAAGCATCCATGGCAGCTAGCCTACCGAGTGTGCGCACTACTCGTGGTGGAACCGGCTAGCTACGTCCCAAAGCACGCACCGCACTTATGGCGATACGGCTGATAACCTGTGTAAACAGGCAATTAGCCTATTTAGACCGCAATACGCGCCTATTTTGCTTGAGCCAAAGTCAAGTGTATGTGAGACATGAATACGGTGTACAACTGTGAAACCACAGATGCGAAATGAAATAAAACAATCATCACGTGAACATGGCCGTCTTGGCTGTCACTGTTGGTGTGTCTGAGCGTCAAAGCCCAAAATCGGAGGAAGGTCCGAAAGTTGGCGCTGTGCTCATTGGTTGCAACCTAAGATACTGCCATTGAGAATATCAAAGGATGTTAATATCTGGATATATCTGGTACATTGGGCTGACGTCCCTGGACAAACTATTCAATTGCGGAGGTCAACAAGGTGATGGGGCTCTGGCTTGTTTTGGTTTCAGTCAGTTTCGCACGAGGGGTGGATGTGGATGGCCAGGACTTTGAGGCCAAGTCTCATTGGGCCGTCTGTTTTTGACCTATGGCTGAATTGAGAGGATTCCAAATCAACGCGTTGCACACTCCCAAACGGCAATCTATATATTTTCCTAGTTGCAGGAGGGTTAGGGAAATCCCTCTATTTTGAGGCGCAAGCAGCTTCTGACTGGAACCAATCGAATGCCAAACTAAGGAATCGTCCAGCTGAAGGAAGTATGCATCTCTCCTCAGACGAAGAGTTGCGCTCGAAAGCAGGAGCTGTCCAGTCAGCTACCCAATAAAGTTGAACAAAGGAATTTCCAGGTAGAAAGCTGCTGAAATGCTTTCCTACAGAGCTTGTTGACCTGCATACCACTTGTTTTCATCAACCCCAACGATTGCCAAGTGGAGTTTCTGCCCGCCGCTACTGGCTACTTGTCTCTAGGGATCAGGCACCAAGGAATCGAGCACTGTGGGCTCTGAGTAGTGCGATTCAAAGAACCCCGGCTTCAACATGCCTCGCAAGTTCCGAGGAACAAGCCGGCCAAGTTTTCAGCAGCTTTGCGGCGTGGCAAGTAGGAATCCGGGAAACAAGAACTTCTGTGAGCAGTCAGAACCACTAATTTTTCCTAAAAATCTAGGAACTAAATCATTCGTGCGAGCGCTTCTTCAAGGAAGTTCTCCCTCGCTCTCAGGCGGGGGGAGCTTCCTTGAAGAAGCGTGAGCTGTCCTGCGTCCTACCTAGAAGCTAACTTGGCCTAGTAGCTGACTCCCTTACTTTATTATATAAGTAGGAGCGGGCTAAAAGAAGGAACAAGAACTTCTTTTGAGCACCTCGAAACATGATCCCCATCGGCACCTGGAAGCTGCACCTTCAACAATTCGAACCTCAGCGGCAGAAGGGGGTTGCTCTTTTTTGCGGAGCATCGACTGAGTGAAGTCTCTAACTTGCTTCTCAAAAAGTGAAGTCTGAAGTCTGCTGGAAAGTGATGAAATGTGATGAATATGAAAAGGAAAAGCAAAGAAAGTCTTGGGTTCTTCTCATGTTTTTCCTCCGGCGTGTTCACTGTCCACTCGTCTCGAATCTTTGCCGGAACCCGGAGTCACCCGGAGTCCCAGCCAAAAGCTGTCGGTGATCGCAATGCGCTTGGGCTTCGTCATCTCCTGCAAGGCCTCATCGACGCATCGACTAAGCCGACGGATTTCTTCTGCTGGCCTACGACCACCCTGAGCGAGCCTTTGCAGCGGGACCCTCTGGGAGCATGCTTTCCTGGATGAGAAACGAAGGTTTCTGATTTTAACAAGGCAATTGGAGTGGCCCAAGTTCCATCCGGAACGGGAGAGGCAGTCAGCTGAGCCCTGTGCTGAGCTCCCCATGGCAATTCATACGGCGCAAAGCCGGGCGAGTTGGTGCAACAAGCGGGGGAACTTCACGTCGTTCGGCCCAGATCGCCAGGCGAACGATGCTCACTGTGGTCCTCTGCCACTTCCAAGTAGGCTATCGGTTTTCTTTCTTTCGACAACTCCCCGTGCCACCAAGACCTGAGCCCGAAATTCGGGAGCGATGATGAGTGTTCACTCAAGCTGATTCCACTTAGTTAGCATGGCCTTGCTGACTCAACCAGTTGCTTTAGCCTTGTGAAAAGCTTTTCGTGCACAGTTTGCTGGGATCAAGGGAGCAGGACTGATGGCTTCGACACGCAGGCTTGAGCAAAAAACAACTACAGCAAGTCATTTGATATGAAGGAGGAAGTCTGGATACCCGAAGTGGGACCGCGTGAATCATGCTTGCCTACGAATTTGCAGCAATAAATGTGTAGACTCATCCTGCCTCAAGTCCTCCAATCGAGATATGCTCCTTCAGGATGTGCCCAGAGACTGTATCGCCGTCCGCAAAGGTCAAACTGCGCAGGAATGGTCCCATCAAACCAATTATTGTGTAGCTGGGCAGAAGTTTTGCAAAACTAAACCTGTTCCAACCCATCTGGCAGACTCGTTCTTTTCACGATGTGCGACCATGAACCCGATCAGAAGCAATGTGTGTGTGTGAACCGCCGATGGGTCTTCGTTCCAGCGGAGCGGCTTCAAGTGCGGCAGCAAAGTCGGCGCATTGTCGCACAGCGACTTGACTCATTAACTCTTTGACTTCGATGAGCTTTCAAAGAGCTCATCCACCTCGAGAGAGGGCAGCCAGAAGCAGATCTGCTAGCTGGCTTGTGGAAGTCCAGAGACTTGAGGCTCCACAATGACATACGTGAAGATCCGGCAGCGTTTGGAATGCAGGTCAATGAGTTCGATATGATCATCAAATCACCGCTGCAAATCTCCCTTCACCTGCAAACTGGGGTAATTAAGCTAGTTGCGCTCCTTCTCATCTTGGTCAGGCACATGGCCACTTGCCGCCCAATCAGCTGGTGTTTCGAGCATCTGGAGACTCCATGAGTGTGGGAAGTGTGCTGTTCACTCCTCCATCAATGTGCTGACAGAAGCTGCGTTTGCAGGCAGCACTTTTTGGAGAGTCGACATGGTGCCTCCTGCCAAACTGCTTCAAGCTCTACTTGGCAAAGACCAGCCCAGCCGCCATTCACATCCTCTACACGAAGTTAGCACAAACACTGGGTGTCACTCGGTGGGCGTTTCGACCAAATCATTTGAGGCCGAGGCACCTTGGGGAAGCGGCTCCAAAAAGTCGCATTCCCAAGATCTCCTTCAGCCATGTTTCGAGGGGCAAGTTGTTTGCAGTAGATCAAACAACAGGGCGACATCACCGCAGTATGGTGTGTGCTATGAAAAGAGCCACAGCTGCTATGCTTCCCCAGCGGGAACTGGGTGAAGCACAACAAATTTGCTGTGTTAATAATGTAAGTAATATTGTTCAAAACGCAAAGACGATGTGACCGTATGTGTGCAAGCAGACACAAATACCATTGCATGTTCCAAGTCTCAACCAGTTGCATGCCCTTCATGTCGTTGACCCTCCGAACCCAATCTGAAGAAGCTCAGGAGTGTCCTCAAGCCAAGGCGTTTCAGCTTAGGCATGCAGATCGTCCAACACTCGAACGAATGTCAAAAGCTCCTTCAAGACCTAGATGAAGAGGCTCAGCTCTGAAGTGCTTGTCGAGGTCTGCACAGCTTAGCCCACACCTTTCAGAAGCTGATAGCCATCCTGAGACCAAAAATCATCAAAAATCTATGGACAGTCTGAATGGCATCCATTAGTTCCTGGATGCCCCAGTCACATCCACTCGCTGTTGGGTCATGGCGCTGGGGGAAAAGAGAGAGGGAGAGAGACAGACAAACAGACAGACAGACAGACAGACAGAAAGACAAACAAACAGAAAGACAGAAAGACAGAACGAAAGAAAGAAAGACAAACAAACAGAAGGAAGGAAGCCAAGTCTGGGGGTTTTGAGAACATAAAGGTAGTCTGCAGCCTTCTCTTTTCTTTGGTTCGAGCATCCAAGCCAGCCAAATCCAAGAGCTTAGCGCCCTCGAGATCCGAAAGCTCCTGGCGTCAGGATCTGCAAGCGGAAAACCATCTAAAACCAATGAGCATGACGGAACCGGTGGAGCTCAACTGTCATGGCCTCTTCGGCTTCTCCTCGATCTCCAAGAACTGCCAGAAGCCACCTTGGTGTCTGGACGCTCACAAATATAAGTGTGCAAAACAGTTAACAGTCAGGCTCAGTCGCGTGTTGTCAAAAGGCATGTAGTAGGGATTCGTGACGAAGATGCCAAACCAAAGCGGTTGCCCCACAAAGGCCTTTGTCCCATTGCCCAGGCTTAGCGGCGCATGCACCGTGCAGCTGGCAACGTCACCATCGCAAGGAGGGTGCTGAAGACTTCCTGGTGGACTCACAACGCAGTTGTGAGAATACATATATACATCCAAAAAGGAAGGGAGAGAATCTGCAGGTGTTGGTCCTGTTGCGCATGGACTATGTGCTATGTACAAGCCACGCCCGCATGCCATCACTATGCATCTCTCTTGAATTTGTAGAATCCCTAAAAAGCAGTCAAACCTGGGAGCACTTTGAGTTCCAGGCCTGGCGAGGCCCAAACTGGTCTTCGAGGTGCTGACAGACACCTAGCGGGTACACCGAAAAACCGAAGAACTCTAAATTGTAAAAGCTTCCAACGATTGCGAAGGCTTACTGTACTACAAAGGCGGTGTGAACAAAAGTACATCATACACAAGTGCATGTATATATTACACTTGCAAGCATCCATCCACTTAGAACATCAAATTGTTCCCAAGCCCGAAACCCTTTACTTAGAACATCGGCAATAGAACATGAGCGTCATGCAATCTGAGAACAAAGACGACGTGCACTCTTAGGACATGAAGCGCCAGCACACTTAGAACATTCTAGACGGACAGCACACATTGAGAGCCGATGTCCGCAAAAAAATTGAATGCTGACCAGCTCTTTCCAAGAACGCTGTGCCGCATTTTGGAACATCGGCCATCAGCGTACGGTCAGCATTCGTCCAGACAACACACCAGTGCAACAGCGCTTTCCTAGAATGCGTCCATGGATAACACACCTTGATGCGCAAGTGAATGCTCCATCGACACGCCAAACACTTCAAATCTCTGTTTCACACATTCAATGCGTTCAACTGCTCCAAAACACTCCAACAGCTAGGCGGTTCCAGCTTCATTTCTCAAGGTGTGTGCTATATACTTCTCACTCCCTGCGAGCTATATTTATATTTGTATGAAGGCTGAGCGTCAAGAATTGTTTTTCTCCTGTGTTATTTTTTCGGTTCGATGTGTAGATGCAAAATTCATGTATTGGTCTCCGACATTCTAAAAACCCATGCGATTAGAGCATCTGTCTTGTTCTAACACCTAAGCTTAGAACATGCAGAATATGCTTTAAGTATATATATATATGTCTTGCAGTATATAGTATGAAAACTATAAACAAATCATCACAAAATCATGTTTGCCAGCAAGAACAGGAGTGCGTCATTGAATTCGTTGAACAGCAAAGGCTGAGAATGAGGCATGCTCCACAAGCCCGATGGCACAGGTACCCCAGGGTCAGCACAAGGACCAGCTGACGGCAAGTAGTCCTGACAAGCTGAGAGGCGCAAAAGGACAAGGATTGACTTTCTTGAGCCTGAGGCACTGAGGGGATGCGCTTAAAGAATCGGACCACATCAGATGTGAAGCCTTGCGGTGAATGATTCACCTGTTGAGACTGCAATCATTTGCAATCCTTTTCTGGACACATCTGGACACACTGCCCCATGGTCGTCCTGCGTCATGCAGGTCAGACGCTCGAAAGGGGCTTCCCATCCACCTGGACCTTCACCACCTCCCAGAGTGCCGGGCAAGAAGCCTTGGAGTTTGAGGCACACCTAATGTGAGAACATGTGAGAACTAGAGAAATTGGTGATGTGTTTCCTCGCGTGAGAAAAAGGATGTGTTTTCTTCCATGAGAACTCTCACGTGAGAACTCGCGAACTAGACACCTCTTCGTCGAAAAGGGTACAGCTTTTTGAGGCCCACACCAGCACAGGTGAGCTCGGTCCCACGCGGGGCGACCAAAAACAAGGCCTCAACGGGCATGCGCTTGTGATGCGCACTCCAGCGGTATGTCGAGTTGTGCCTCTTCGCAGTGTGGAGACCATCGGACTCTTGGCTTTTCGACAAGGTACCCATCTCGGAACCCCACCCGCAATCGCATGGGTGCAGAGGATCCCAAGCTGACCTGAAAAAACAAGACAGAAGCAGTTTGTAGAGTCTACAGTCTACAGTCTCTTCCACAGAACCATGACCATGCACCATTTCCAGGATTGTCCGCTGCCAAGCATCATTCCGCGGGACAACAGTGATGTTCAGAAGATGGAAGACCCCAGGATTCACGCTTTCAGGGACCAGATTGCCCTGCCGTGTGCATCATCCATATCAACAAGCTTTGCCTGGGATATCTCGCCTCCATGCCAGTGAGGCTGAAACCCGGCAGATCAGCCTTGCATCAGCTACATAAGGTACATAAGCATCAAAGGCACAGGTTGATGATTAAGATACTACCCAAAGATGGCACAGTTTGAGCTGTACGCTGAGAAACCCCAGGCCTCATGAAGCGTCACGTACGATGATGCGGACTCAGCCCAGCCTGAGCTGCTTGCTACACACTCTGTTCAGAGCAGTTCGATCGGAAACTCAATCGTGCGATGCACTTACCAAGGGCTCTTGTATGAATTGATTCACTTGTCTCATTGCCATGCATTACTCGCCAGTCGTATGTTTCATGATAATTGATTCCTTATTTTGCCACTCTTGTTGTCCGTCTCTTTGGGCTTTCGTCGAGTAATTGATGTGCTAAGCTGCGGGTCATGAACCGCCACTTGTTTTCTGCTCCGTCAGGATTGAACAAAGGATTGCGAACTCGAAGCCACACCTGTCAGAGAGGTCTGCAGCCGTTTCCGATGCATCTTCAATAATCATGTTGTGTCAAGATCACCGCTCAAAAGCATGGCTTGAATTCAGCCCCCAAGCCCCATCTTGGTGCTCCAAGCAAGGAGGCCACAAAACATTGCACAACCTGTGCCTCATACTCCTGATCTTTCAGCAGCATCCCAGTCCGAAAGCTCTCCTGTTCAAAGCTATTCCAACTTGATGGATCAAACCATGGCCCACTGCACTGGTCAGATTCTTTGGTTCGTTGTTTTTGGTGGTCTCTCCACCCCGTCCTCGGCCTCAAGGAGAATCAAGGAGGCATTTGAATAGGCCTAAGACCATCTTAAATATCAAGTCCAACAAATCCGATTAAACCTGAGACCACAACACCCATCGTAACTCCTTGGCATTCGAAAGGTGGCGGCCTCAGTTTATCTCTGCTCCTCCCCTCTCTTCTGGATTGCCAAGGTTCTGGCAGCGTGGAGGTTG